GGGTGCCCACAAGCCTCTGCAGCTGTACTCTGGCCCGTAGAGAACAGCCGCAAACCCAGGTGTACAAAAGAGCTGATATCGTCCCAGGTCCCAATATTCAATGCAGCTATATAAAGCTGCATGGAAGACATATGAATTTTGATATATAGGATTATGTATCACTCTATGTGAGTGCATCAGCAGTAATGAATGTCAAAATAGGGGCCTGGGACCAGGGCCGGCCTTAGGGGTGTGCGAGCCGTGCGGCCGTGGGGTCTGTTTGGACCCATAATATTTCCCCGAAGCCCCCCAACAGTAAAAAAATAAATAAAAAAATAAAACATAATAAAAAAATAATAAAAAAACTAAAAAAATATTTTAAAAAAGTTTTTTATCATACTTTTTAATATGTTTCTTTGCGCCTTAACAAAATAGGACTCTTTAAATGGTGCGGATATTGGGGAAAATGGGGTGGTTACGGGGGTGTGGCCACTAAAGGGTGTGGCCACTGAGGGGCGCTGTAAAGCTTTCTCGCACAGGGCGCCAAAAGGCCTAAGGCCGGCCCTGCCTGGGACAACACAGTGCATCTATTCATCAGAGAGATATGTATGCAAAAATGTAGAAATAAGAACACAAGAAATATAAACACAATAAAGATTGATCTTGCCAGTCAAGGTTCTCGAGAGTTTGGGTTTCCAGGTGCTGGGCCAGGTCTTCGTGGTGTAGAGCGGGTACTTTGGAAGACCCTAGCTGAGGGGTGTTGTCAAGACGGATCAGGGACTGTCGGGCTACGTCCATTTATGAGGGCTCGGTCTGCAACCTGAACCAGAGGATTCGAACATTGTTCCTTCTCCCCCTGTTTTCCAAATCATCCATATGAAGAATAAGATCAGATAGGTGTTGGTGAGAGGTCGATTAAGCTGATTCCAAGATATTGACTCTGTGAAGGAGCTCAGAGTGTGCCTGTTCCACATTAGAAACCTTGGTAGACAAGGAAAAATGTCCTGTTTGACTTCTGCTAAGTCCTGCTCATAAGCAGATTTAATATGGTTGTCAGCTTTGGTGGGGATCAGTGACTCCAGATCTGCTTTAGTGGGAAGAGACTGGAGAAGGCATCTGAGGTCAGAATCCAGAGGTAGTTGAGAGGTAGAGGACTGAGTCATCCAGGTGCTGGAGCCCTTGGGATGTGTCACCAAGGGGTCAGAGCACCAAGAGTCCAATGAGTCCTCATCATATCATTGTGCAGGTGGGATAGTCCACTCTGTCATGCTGTGAGGAGAGGTAGAGGGTCCACGCGGATGGAGCTGGAGGGAAATGGGTCACTGCAGGCTTCCTGTTATGTCCCTCACCTCCAAATGGGGATGAGCCCAGGAACAGTGTTCATGTAGCCAAAGCCAAGCCACGCCCAAATAATTACTTTTTAAATATGCAAGTTATTGAGGGGGAAATTAACTTTTGCCTACATCAAAGTGCAGCCATTTTATATTCAACTTCATTTTTTATATTAGTTATGTGATTTGTTTTTCTTGTTATATGTATATGCAACTGACATTAGCCTAATTAGCATGCCTTTTGAGTATAGTTGGGGCAGTTGGACCAGAAATTTTAGCTGGAATGTGTGTGATTGTAATAGAAAAAGTATCCCAAAACTTAACTGACTTTCCTCCTATTGCATTCCAGTGTAACTAAGCACTCACTCCTGTTGCATTCCACTGTAACTAAGCACTTACTCCTGTTGTATACAGGGCCGGATTTGCTCTCCCTGCCGCCCCAAGGCCAGGTTCCGCAATGCGCCCCCTCCCCGCCAACCAGTTTTACCAGTTAGTTTTAACCCTGCCGCTCTGCTCACTGCATCGGCGGCAGGGACAGGAGAGAGATTCGGTGGCCGGGCGAGGACGGAGTCCTGAAGACCAGCGGAGAGAGGTAGGTGCGGGGGAGGGGACTGCACACATATTACAAGTGAACGGCCGGATTCCCCACTTACCGCCCGGCACTACATGTTCCGGGCGTCGGGGGACTCCACTGCGCTGCCGCCCCATTGCCACGTGTCACCCCGAGGCTGGGCCTCGGTGGCCTTGTGGGGAATCCGGGCCTGGTTGTATATGTGTACCTATGGACTCCACTGTCTATAAAAACTCTTAACATGGTCAGTAAAGCAGAATAGTTTATTATACACATCTTGGTGTGTGTATATTCTCTTGCAATTGCAATATAAATGGGTCCAATGATTAACGTTCATTGGTTATTAATTGGTTTCTTTATATTGATAACTAGTATTATCCATGGTAGGTCTTATTTCAAGACGCTAGATTGGTTAGATAGTAGATGCTGTCTTTTTTTACCATTATAGACACCAAAGGGGAGATTGAGCTGACACACACAACGCTGTAACATTAATGTGCCTTACACTAACGTAGCCCATTAATTTGAATGGGCAGTTTATTGCACCAAAAAAGCACCAAAAAGGCAGATGTAAAACCTTTTGAAATGCAGTACACTACAATGTTTGGTAGTGTATTACTGTGCATTTGTGGTGCACCACAAAGCACGTGCAATAGCAAAGTACATTAGGGTACCATTAAGACTGAATGGCACCACAGTGCACTAATGTAAAAAACACAGCATAACAGTGTAAGCCTAGCATATGGACACATTTACATATTTGCAGCTGTGTCAGAATAAAAAAAAAAATTTGCCCATTGGAATGCATTGCTGGATTTCTATTGGCTATTTCAATTTGCAATAGCCAATAGTAAACTAGCATTGTACCCACCCTCTGCTGCAGTTCTCCATCAGGTCCATCAGCAGAGGGCGGGTACAATGCTGGTTTACTATTAAAAAAAAAGAAAAATCAGTGTTTCTCTCCTGGGCGGCCGGGAGCGGGAGGCTCCCAGAGCGCCAGTGGAGTTTTTTTTTTTAACGGCAGCAGAACCGCCGGACAATCGAAAACTGTTGGGCAGAGCTGGCTGTCACTGCTAGCTCCGCACAATCGTTTTCTATTTTTTTTTTTTAACTTTTTTTACTATTTTTTTTTTTTGCTATGTCCCTCC